GTTTTATGGAGTATAGTTTAGATATAGTAAAATTAGGTGTACAGTTCTTGTTATTTGGAAAAGTATATTATTGTACAACCACAAGCACAGTCAAGATATAGAATATTTCTATCACCTCATAGTGTTTCTTTATTCCCCTTTATAGTCAATTCTCTGCTAGTTTTATGGAGTATAGTTTAGATATAGTAAAATTAGGTGTACAGTTCTTGTTATTTGGAAAGTATATTATTGTACAACCACAAGCACAGTCAAGATATAGAATATTTCTATCACTTCATAGTGTTTCTTTATTCCCCTTTATAGTCAATTCTCTGCTCCCATCTCTAACCCCTGGCATCCTATAATTTTTCTTTTCTTTTTTTTTTTTTTGGACTTTTATAAATATGGAATCTTATAGTATGTAGCCTTTTATGTCTAGCTTCTTTCACTAGCTTAATGGTTTTGAATTTCATCTATGTTCTTTTTTATTGCTGAGTAGTATTCTATTGTATAGGTGTGCCACAATTTATCTATTCACCGACTGGTAGACATGCCATTTATTTACAGATTTTGGGTGTTTATGAATAAAGCTGCTATAAATATTTACTTATGGTATTTATTTCTCTTAGGCAATCCTGGGTCATACACTAAGTGTATGCATAACTTCAAAAGAAACTGCCCAACTGTTTTCAAAGTGGCTCTACCATATTGCATTCCCACCAGCAATGCCTGAGAATGCCTGTTGATCTGAGTCCTGGCCTGCCCTTGATATTGATTGTTTAAATATTTATTTTTAATTTAAGCCATTCTAATAGATCCAAATTTCCTTTGATATCCCCATAATGATGCACAGACATCTTTGTGGTCCTGTGAAAGCCCTCTTTTCTCTTGTTCGGATGAGAGTTTTACCAAATGTTTTTAAGTAATGAACATTTGCTTATGTAAAATCAGGTTCTCCATCAAGCAGAGGAATTTAACTGTAGGAATTACATATTTTGAATTGACTTTTGTCAGCAGGCTGAGTTGGTTAGAACATGATACTAATGAAATTTTAGGATTAGTAAAGTTAAGTCTGTTTCTCTGCCAGTGGAGAGAAAATCCCATATTACCGTTTCATAACTGGAATCCTTACTAACAAAGAACTCCAAAGAAGAGAGTAAATGTGTTAGTGAAAATTTATCATCAGCACAGAAAAACAATAAGCTGCATATTCAGTTATTACCCAAACAACCCCCTATGAAATAAGGGGGGGGGGACTCAAGCTAAACAACAGTCTAAAGAACTTTTAATTGAAATGTCACTTTCACTATTTAAACTAAAGAGCCATTGCTGTGATGTGTGATAAAAGTTGATGGTGTCCTATTTCTTTGTGTGGAATTGCTTTTCTCTCATCACTGACTTAATTTGATTGCACCAGTTTGTCAACTGTCACGTTTGGCTTCCCTCAGCTGCAAAGTATAGATAATGACAGTCTATGTAATTTAACAATTATGTGCCAACATTTTGTTTCTCCTAATCAAGATGAACTAAGAATTTTCCCCACCCCATAACTTTGGAATAATAAAAAAGTTCAAGGCTTTCTTTTTTATTGTCTGTCTTGTATTTTACAGGTGGCTTGTCTAATATCTTGCATTTTCATCCTTGTAGTCATCTATGCAATAGCACCTTTGCTCTACTGGCTGCCCATGGTACTGTAGTGCTTTTTCACTATCTTGTTTTTAACTTTACTTTTAATGAGAATCACCATATATAAAATTTCTTGGAAGAGTAACCTCAATAATCCTAAATCTGAAAACCAAGTTACGTAAGTACAGGGTGACTCGGGGAGGGGTGGAAAGATACATTCAATGAGGGAGGAATAGGAAGGGGTCATGGCTGTTTTCTAATTCTTTGGCTCTTGTATAAAAACGGCATTGTGAACTAGATTCAGTCTGTGATCACGTGGAGGGCAGAACTAGGCATACTCTGTTATAAGAAGTAGACTTTGGAAGAATTTTATCAGAATTTCGACTGTTAGAAAATGTGTGCTGGGGCAAGGGACTAGGGAACAAAATACATCTTCCCATCCTTGATACATTAGATAACGTTGACACATTCTCACCTTGCTCTTTATAAGCGTGAGGCACCAAAGTGACACAAACAAGTTCCCACTCTGAAAAGAACCAGTCTCAGTCCTTTGCTATTCTAATTCTCCTTTTGTGTAGTGAGAATAAATCATTTCCATGGGAGAATCTTCCAATAATCAAGTTCACTTTTCAAGAGAGTTATAAATATTTTCAGGTAAAACCAGATAATTCATATTTAAAGCAATTATAAAATATATATAATGTAAATATGTAATTTTTTGCAACAAACACATTTAAAACAAACAATGGTGAATAATTATAGTTAAGGGGACATGCAACCTTATAACATTCACTCTTATAGTTCTCTACTACTTTTTTCTTTCTTTTCTTGTTTTTTAGAATTTCATAAGTTTTACCCAGTGATTTTCTAGAATTAATATGATATTTGTCAGGTACAATACTAGGTTAGTTCTAAACAAAACAATTATTACTTTAGTCCTCTACTTGCTTTTTTCTAGTGAGTCCTTTAAAAAAAAATAAATAAAAGTACCTCAGTCCTTTTAAATTTAGGCCAAAATCTTATCTATGTTTTCATCAACTTACTTTTTTATTTGCAGTGTGTTCTTGCAAGCATTATTGTTGTGGGACTGAAGGGAATGCTAATACAATTCCGGGATTTAAAAAAGTACTGGAATGTGGATAAAATTGATTGGGTAAGTAGAAATTTGACCTAAAATCTCCCTCTTTGGCATAAGTACATATTACCAAATAAGTTTTAATACTTTTATTTGCAGAAAATAGATTTAGTAGTTTGAGACTTGTATACTTTACAAACTACCAGTTATTTTTAAAAAATCTTAATAAAATCATTGAAATATAAATTGTCTTTATAAGAAACAGAAACAGAATTTTGTCAAATTTTGACGTGTGCATAGTTTGAGAACTTTTAAAGAAATGCTAATTTAATTGGATTGGGGCTACCCAATTTACATTATGAATTGATTCTGGAAGCATGAGTCAGCAAGTAAGTACACACTAATAAAAAATATGATGATTTATAGTGTGTACAAAAACCCAGAATTCATTGCTAAAATTTTATCCTGCAGGAATATAAGGTGAATCTTTTTTTGTGGTTATGCACTGAATGTTCTTATTTTTGTTTTTACTAAACTATAAGCAAACAGCACAATTAACATGACATTCAGCAACTCAAGACCAGATTTTCCCACACATATGGAGAGTAATCAATTTAATGGGCACAGACATAGGGATTCCTGATAACCTGACACTTTGATGCATGTCTAGGTGGTCCTGCCTCAATGACAGCAAAGCCACTCTCCCTATTACTTTTTCCACTATTGCTCTTTAAAGGAGCCAGAATGGTATAATAACATCTGTTACATTAGCTAAAATGTACCATGTTAGGGTTTACCTGCAATGCCAGCCTCTGGTTATCTTGGTGAGAGTCAGCACTGTGAAAACATGTCTCAGAAGATGACATTGTGTACAATTCTGGACTCAGAAACACAAAGGCAGAGGCAATGAATCCCTTTCTCTCTCTCTCTTTTGTTTAACCTCCCTTAAAATTCTTTGATGCTTTGCTCTGTTACTGTAGATCTGGTCTTTTTACCTGGATTTTTTCTCTTTTAAATCTAGGTTGCTATTCTTATACTTATATTAACAATCTAAATTCAAAAGGTCTCATGAATTATCTTTCAAATGGGTTATATTGAGGGAAGCATTATGCTAATATGATATTACTGGGAACAGATTAAATTATACTGAGCAATGATAAAGTATGGTTTCTATTAGTTTTCCAAGAAGGGCTGATGTGTCTTATATTCCGTGAGCTATTTCATGGTAAAAATATCTACCTTTTTAATTTTTTTAGTAGACAGAAGTTTTTGTCTGAGTTTAAAATGCTTTCTCTCAGGACTTTTTAGATTTGACAGTATTGTCAGGCATTGAAAGATAAGGTAGAGAAATCATAGGTCAACATAATTTTTTTGTTATTTTTTGTAAGTTTGTTTTCCTAAATGAATGCTCAGTGAATGAAGTTCTTTCTTCTTGCCCATGAAGTCCGGTAATGTTATCAGAATATTTCTGTAGTTGAGCATGCAGAATAAAATTTCTGAGTGTGGTATATCTTTTTGATCTCAGAATCAATGATTATTTACAAAATTTTTCTTCTAATATATCTTTGAATATTTTTCCAAATCTATTTGTTCTGTTTTCTTCTTAATGATGTATTTGTTGATTTTAGTTTGTCTTTCTTCATATCTATATACTTTCCCATGATTATTTTGTTTTCCTGTGTGTGTGGTTTCTTTGGACTATTTAGTGTGTCTCTGATTATTTTCTAGTTGTAATTATCATATATTTTATCTTTAAATATGGCTTTTATCTCTGTAATGTTTTTATTTCTACTTTATTTCTTTTGTACATTTTTCCAGCTTGCTTTTTATCTCCTTCAGTTTTGATGTTGTTTTGTTGTTGTTGTTTAATAGAGTATTTCTATTTTTGAGTTGTCATATCTATTTCAGAGGGTTTTTTTCCTGAGATTTTATCACCTATTATAGGTCTAAACTTATCCTTTGTATCTATTTCATTATTTTTTCTTTCTTTTTCTTGTGTCTATGAGGAGGCCCCTTGGTGATTCCTTTAGGGTTGTAATGCATTATTTAGTGAACCTGGATATATGCTAAAAAATAATGTGGGAGGGCAGAAGGTAAAAAGTTACACAATTCTGATTTAGGTATGTTGTTTGAAGATGTGTCTCTAATTGAAGCAAAGCCTCAGAATTACAGGCTCTTTGGTGATCTTACAATTATTGTCTCCTCTCCATTATCCATCTTGGGGATGAAATTAGTGAGTTTACATTTGGACATGCTCTGTTTGAAAGTGTTTAATAGACAGTTTTAAAAATGGTTCAAGAGCTCAGCATTGGTAGTCTCCTACTTAGAAAGTTGAAAACTTGAAGTAGGCAATATGAAGTGGGCAAAGAGTAATGTTTAAAAAGGTGACATGGATATAGCAAGTGCATGCTGATTCAACAGGACATTGGATTTAGCTTGACAATGGCCTCCTGTAGTTGAAGTGGAGAGACATATCTTAGCTGCTAAGGAATTCAACATTGAAAAGCCATAAATTATTGAGATATGATCTGGGCATAGCATTTGGAGTAAATATATTGCACAGACTTTTGTAGATATGGGCTATATTACCCAGTAGACATAATATGTCTAGATTACTCAACAGATAGAATATATGTAGAATATCATGAAAGTAAAATTACTAAAAATGTGTGTACATAAAATAATTTGAAGGTTTAAAGTTTAAAAAATCATATAAATAGTCATCACATAAAAAATCAGAAACTTTTAAAAAATTTCTTTACATTTTTTACAGTTTATTATTGATTCTATTTTGAGTTGTAGGTGAAAACTCTCTATGGAGGAATAAGGAAATAGGGGACCAAATGGAGGACTGACTCATGGGCTCAGAACTGAGCTTGAGATAGAATTCAAATCTACAGAAACTGAATAATATGGATGAGTCACAAAAACACATAGTATACCAGATAGGTATGAAAGAGGTGAGGTGATTCATTAGCTGCTAAACTGTGCTTGACACTGATGTATTTTCTATAAGGAGGAAGAGTTTATGTGTTCCCTACTTAAAGTCAACTTTGGAGTTAGTTTGTGTTTGGGGACTGAATGCCAAATAGGGAAGGGAGCAAGTAGGACCACCCAATGTTAAAAAAAAAAAAAATGGGGGACCAAGAGCTAATCTACTGATAACTGTAACAACCAGCATTTGGGTCTTTAATAGAAATTGTCACAGAAATTGTCACACTGTTGGGCCTTATTCTAACCAATGCAACTATTTACTGATCTATGTTATTAATTTCCATTTGATATGTTTTCAAAGCTATAAATGTAGCCTCAGGAAATAACTAAGCATTTGGAAAGGCTGGCTTATAATAATAGATGATGTTGTGGGAGAGTAAATATGCTTTAAAAATAGAACCAGATGGTACCAAAATTTTTGGTTGCTCTGATGAATCCTGACCTCCAGTCTGTGTGGTTTTTTAAGTGGCAGGGAGCAGGATCCTTAGTTCCCTATGCCATATTAAATCATGTAGGTTGGTCCAAAGGAATTAGACTTAGAAAGCTTTTGGTGAGGTCTTATTGTGCCATACTCAGTCAGGTTTAGTTAGCATTTGGGGATGAGTAAGACTCTGAGTCATCACGGGAAGTTGAAATAATGATCATAAATTTGCAGCCTTATTTTGTATAGGATTAAGTATAATGTAATAGATTAGAAAGGAAAAACACACTGTGTACAAATAGAAGACTCAAATGGCTGTCTATTCAACTGTATAAAGGGAAAACATCTCAGTTTTCTAACCTATAAGATGACAGGCTAGGGATGATCTTATAATAAATAATAACTAGCATTACATTTGTAGAAGATGAATCTGAACATGAAATGTTCCCAAGAACTAAGTTGGCCCTGATTTTTTAGTTTGTACAATAAGTGGTCTCTTTTAAATAAAATTATAATGATCTTTACAGTGGTTGATCTAAAAGTGGCATTGGCAGTGTTGTTTGATTCAGTCATTTTAACATTAGGCTTTGAAAGCCTTATGTAGTTATAAACTACATTAGTTATTTTTATAGCAATGCTAGAAAACAGAATATTGTTGGGAATAACCAAAAATCTGCAAACAATTGCTCATAACATTATTACATTAAATGAGAAAGCAGTGGGATATTATGGCATGGTTGTGAACCATCACATCAACTAACTATTTACAGATCATAAATAGAGTGTTTGTTGGGGATTGAACTAAGGGTTGGCAGTGTCTGGAAATAAAAGAATGAACTTTTCTCCACTTCTATTGTTGAGAGTCTAATGGATCCAGGATTTGTTTCTGTATTTCTGGGCTTCTATTTACCACTTCTTAAATAATATATTCTTGCTGAGAGATTTGGTTACAGGAATGTTGTGGAATAAGATTATGAAGAATTTAGTAATCTTGAGAGAGATGAAACCCACATCTTTTGTTTCCTGTTTCTCTTTCAGGGCATATGGGTCAGTACATATGTATTTACAATATGCTTTGCTGCCAATGTGGGGCTGCTGTTTGGTGTTGTCTGTACCATAGCTATAGTTATAGGACGCTTCCCAAGGTAAGATCTTATTTAAATGCTGTGTTTATTCTGACACAGCAGCACAACATATGGTGTTGCCAGTTACTTTTATTTCTGTGTAACATATAGTACTAAAATCTCGTGTTTCACTTACTGTCAGAGAATTACAGACAAATAGATAAATGCTTTGTTTACATATGATATGTAACAATGTTGGTCTTAATGAAGAGAAATATCCTGATTATAAAATAGAATATATAAAATCTATTAAATAAATCCCTTAACCATAAACTGCATCACAGAGATTTTTTTTTAAAATTACATGAAATGAAATAGTATCTAATGATACACAAACCATATAGCAATGTGATCATTTGGAAAGTTAAATAACTTTAGAAAATTTTATTTTTCAGAAGCCAGATTAATTTATATATATAAATTTAAATTATATATATACACACAGGTGTATATATATAATTTTATAATTTGTTGAGGAATACGCTCTCTTTCTTTTTTTATTAAATATCTATAAACCATTTTTAGGAATATATTACTTTACAAATACTTTCAAGGGAAGGATAAGAA